TCTTTTTTGAATCTCACTAGTGGGGTAAAAAGATAAACTTGGGAGAGTTTGCAACTTTTCCAGCTTTCGTATGTTTTTCTTCCTAATAAGTTCTTAATGTGATTTTCTTTTCTGTGTAAATTAGTTTCCAGTAATTTTTACAACCTTACAGTTTAACTCTGGATTTCTGTACTTTAGATCTTCAGGTTCAGTCCTCGCTACATCCTTTTCATCCACTTGGTGCTGAACGACATGATCCAGTTGACAGCAAGCATTTCCCTCTACATCTTTGCCCATACCTTCTACACCATCTACGTCTCTGTGTGCATTGTCCTCCTTTTGCCCGCTATTCTCACAAACACAAACACTCCATTAAATCTGGCGTGCATGGCAGTAGAGTGTTATATCTCTGTTTGCATTCCTCTCCGCTATGAAAATATATGCACTGTAAAGAAAACCTATATTATGATAGCTCTTATGTGGGCAATAAGCTTGCTCGCTGTCCTGCCTGATGTCTTCACTCTTTTTATCACAGAGGAGCTGCATTTCATGAAAATGAGATTGTTCTGTGACAGGGAATCTGTGTTCAGAAACAGCTACGGTACAACTAAGAGAGATGCATCACATATATTTTTTCTGGTGGTGGTTTGTCTCACTCTGATTTACACATATTTCAAAATTCTGTTTGCAGCAAAAGCTGTAAATTCAGATGCTAGAAAAGCAAGAAATACTATCTTGCTTCATGGTTTTCAAACACTGCTGTGCATTATGGTGTATGTGCAACCTCTTCTAAAGCAGCTTTTGATATACTTCCTTCCCAATCAGAGAAAATCTATACAAAATATTACTTTTGTGTTAATTCAGGTCTTTCCTAGGTTTCTTAGTCCAGTTGTTTATGGATTGCGAGACAAGGAATTCAGAAAGTATTATAAGAAGTATTTTATATCTTTACAAGTAAAGGCAGCGAGGGTACAATTCTAACATATACCTGGAATCGTCTTAAAAATTTTAACACAGGTTTCAATGTGCAATCAATTTGTTATTGTGTTTAAATTATATAAACATAATGTAATCTTAATGTATTCTCAACACTTGAAGAAATAATTGGCTAATCAGCCTACTAAATGAGGTAAACTCACTGTGTTGTACTGTATAAAGCTAGACAGGTCAGTAAAATAAAAAAATATATGTGAGTTTCTAGGTCCTATGATAAAAAAGTGATTTATTTAAAACATGAACAAAAAAGTCCTGCTTGTTGATAACAGCAAGTTTGAGAGGTGCCCATGTTCTGTTGAGTAATCGAAATTTGTACATACGTATAGCAGGAAGTGTCAACTAGATCTAATAGAACACCACATGCTTTGTGTTTTCAGTGTTTATTTGAGAGTTTAAGATTTGCATACATCTACTTCTTATCTGCTGTATGATATTTTGATTTTAAATTTTACCTGCCCAGCCAGTGTTCTAATGCACCATCTAAATAGAAATATGAAAATAAAGTCTTAAATAGCGCAAGTTTTGCTACACAATCTTTGTTGTAAATAAAACACCCTTTAAATCTATGAGGTTAACATAAATAAAATATAGGCTGTACAAAAACTTGATGTGGGCACAAAAGGACTAAAGAAAGAAAAGACAAAGCATTGCTGCAGGATAAATCATCACATTGTCCAAAATAGTTATAAAAAATTCTTATAGTAGTTAAAGTCATAGTGTTTTTATTTTCAAATTTAGAGGTAAAGTCCTACAGAAAAGTTGTGTGTGAATAACTTGGCAATGTTGAACTCTTCAGTCATGCCTTATCGATAACATTGATCCCAATGCTAAACCCCTACCGGAAAGAAATGCAAGGTAGAGTGACATACAGTGGGCATAAAAGCACATTGCTATCCTGCTCCGAAGCCAATCATCTTGCAAGATGAATGGCTTTATTTAGCTCCTGGCCCAGGTTCTCTCTCATGCGGGCAAACTTTCACCCACGTCCACCCCATCTCCTCCCTTATTCTCTGTCCCACTCACCCTCTGCCTTATTCCACCACCAGTGTCTAGGTCTCGGGGGAAGACAACTCTAATCCTTTTGTGGGTTACTCATCCAAACGTATATAGACTCACAGCATTGAAGTCTTCTGCCAGG